ACCGGTAGAAGAAGGAATGACGTTGGCAGCAGCGCAACGGCCTCCCCTCCAGTCTTTACCGCCCTTAGAGGGACCATCGACGGTCAACTGAGTGGAAGTGGTAGCGTGGATGGTGGACATGAGACCCTCGACGAGACCGAACTTGTCGTTGATGATCTTAGCAAGAGGGGCCAAGCAGTTAGTAGTGCAAGAGGCGTTGGAGACAACAGTGAGATCGGAAGTGTACTCCTTGTTGTTGACACCCATCACGAACATGGGGGTATCATCCTTAGGGGGAGCAGAGATGATAACCTTCTTGCAGCCACCCTGGATATGACCAGAGGCCTTCTCTTTAGTGGTGAAGACACCAGTGGACTCGCAGACGTAGTCGGCGCCGGCCTTACCCCAGGGGATATCACAGGGGTTCCTCTCGGCGAAGACCTGGATGGTCTGACCGTTGACGATGAGGCAGTTCTCACCAACCTCGATGGTACCGTTGAACTGACCGTGGACGGAATCGTACTTGAGGAGGTACTGCATGTAAGGGAGGTTCATGAAGGGATCGTTGACAGCAACGACCTTGACCTCAGGGTTCTCCATGGCGGCCCGGAAGACCAAGCGACCGATACGACCGAAACCGTTGATACCGAGTTGAGCGACCATTGTTGATTAAGTGATTAATCCAATGAGTTGATGTGGTGGTGATGTAAGCCGAACCAGCGAGAACCTAAGCTTTAGCTTAGCAAATCGCTCAGCGATTAGTCTTAGAGGTCCGCTAATAAGTTGGTGCATCATAGCGCTACTCGCGCTTCATCTCTCCCGTATCCATCAAATCGCTACAGCCAACATCTGTTACATTGCTGAGCGACAGCGGAGGAATCGCAGAGCAAAAGACACCTGCCTTCTTCCCAGAGCTCTTAGCGTCGTTCCCCGCCAAGCATACGAACATACAAATGTATCAACTCACACGGAGTTTTCTTGACCAAAGCCTCGCCAAAGAAGCCCCCCAGAGCATAGTGGGCATTTATCGTACGGATAATCCATCACGGCTGAAAACGGCCACACTATCTTCAACTATCTGATCTTTCGCATCGTCGGGACCAGAAGCTCGTCAGAAAGCCCACGAAACATGGTGCCCACCTACCATACTGATATTCCATCACAAGGAGGTACGGCCATCCTAAGTGACTATTTTGAACTGTTGACCGTCTACAGGACAACGATGCCAATTCACAGTTATTTCTTATTATTATAATCGATGAACTACATTCACGATCATTGTACACAATGTGCTCCGACCACACTTGAGTGAATCAATTCCTAATTCACTCAAGCCCTACACCAACGACTCACTAGATAGTTTACCTTCTTCGCGGTTAACTCTGGAGGTAATGCCAGAGATTCTTAAACATCACATGATAAACCAAGCCCATGGCACTCATGAAGAACGCAACAAAATCGACATTGCGAAATATCGAGCTCGAATAGCTCAAATTATCCGAAGTGGTGCGACCTAATCGCAATAGTATTGTTGAGTGTTGATTGATATGTTATAAGAAACATTTACTGGGCATCAACCTTGCTCATGTGGACGGCGAGGTCAACAAGACGGTTGGAGTAACCCCACTCGTTATCGTACCAGGAGACGAGCTTGACGAACTTGTCGTTAAGAGCGATACCGGCCTTAACATCGAAGATGGAAGAGTGCTTGTCGTTGCACATATCAGTGGAAACAACATCATCATAAGTGATACCCATGACACCCTTCATGTCACCCTCAGAGGCCTCCTTAACGGCGGCAACGATCTCGTCGTAAGTGGCGGCCTTCTCGAGACGGCAGGTAAGATCGACAACAGAGACATCAGGGGTAGGGACACGGAAGGACATACCAGTCAACTTACCGTTGAGAGAAGGAATGACCTTACCGACGGCCTTAGCGGCACCGGTAGAAGAAGGAATGACGTTGGCAGCAGCGCAACGGCCTCCCCTCCAGTCTTTACCGCCCTTAGAGGGACCATCGACGGTCAACTGAGTGGAAGTGGTAGCGTGGATGGTGGACATGAGACCCTCGACGAGACCGAACTTGTCGTTGATGATCTTAGCAAGAGGGGCCAAGCAGTTAGTAGTGCAAGAGGCGTTGGAGACAACAGTGAGATCGGAAGTGTACTCCTTGTTGTTGACACCCATCACGAACATGGGGGTATCATCCTTAGGGGGAGCAGAGATGATAACCTTCTTGCAGCCACCCTGGATATGACCAGAGGCCTTCTCTTTAGTGGTGAAGACACCAGTGGACTCGCAGACGTAGTCGGCGCCGGCCTTACCCCAGGGGATATCACAAGGATTCCTCTCGGCGAAGACCTGGATGGTCTGACCGTTGACGATGAGGCAGTTCTCACCAACCTCGATGGTACCGTTGAACTGACCGTGGACGGAATCGTACTTGAGGAGGTACTGCATGTAAGGGAGGTTCATGAAGGGATCGTTGACAGCAA